ATTATGCTTTTTCATCATGGTGGCCCTCTTGATTCCTAATTTAAAAAAAAAAAAAAACATTGTTGACCATCATGGGTTTCAAGAATCTCAACTATTTAATCTTCTTTTGTGGATCTCCTCAGCAACCGTAATTTGGGATATGGCCAAGGGAGGTGATTTATTCAGCTGTGAGAGGGAAGCAATATTTGTATCCTGCATCCTTGTAACTTCCATTTACCAACTCAATACTTCCCATTCATTTTTATGATACAAGACCAACCTTTAACTCAAGGTTTTACTCCAGATCCACATTTGTAATAGTATACGTCTACCTCCCAACTCTCTGAATATAGACCCCACATATCATTCAGTGCTTTTTTAAAATCAATATAACAAATGGATGTCCGATAGTTCTTGAAACACCAGTTTTCAATGTCTGCTAATATTGTCTTGGGCCTGTTACACATCCCAGAATTTGAGTTGGCAGGAAAGGGAGGAGATCTTTGATGCAAACAATGTTTAAATGAAGTCATGCTGAAAACAGAAAACCAAACAGCATGGCTATTTTACTTTTGTCTGTACTCCAGATGGCTAAAGAAGTCATCCCAACCATAGGCCTCTAGTTGTATGGGTCTACAACTCCCATGATCTTCAAACAGCACAGGCATTGTAACTTGCATTTACCTCATCACATCCATGCCAATTTGAAGGTGGTGGTGGGAGGAATCCCCACATAGTTGTAACCCTGTTCAAAATCACTATTGCTTAATAGCATATGAATATGAAATACTTGCTTTTGATCTCACCTATGTTTCCTTTGAGAGGACTTTTCATGCTTTAGGACTATTTCATAGGAGACATCTCCCCTGGACCATTCACCAGTTGTATCCTCCTTCATAAATGCTGCCTTCCTCTTGAGATCAGAATGTAGGGAATAAAGAGACCCTTTTTCCAAGAGCCTGAAAATATTTTTCTCTTTGGGACTCAATGCTGGGAATAAGGCTTCCTGTCCTAGATATCCAGTGACTCCAAGACCCACCAATCTGACTTCATTTTATCATGCCACTATTATCTCCTGGCTGTAGCACAGAAAGTTTACCCATACTTAGGAGTTAGAATGATGTTTAACATCTGCAGAGTGCTTTACAATATTCAGAGCACTTTATATATCAGTAAGAGTGATTTTCCCATGCTGTTGATAGAGGAGGAGAAAACTGAGCAAACTCTGAAGCCATCTGTAAATCTTTCGATGTTACCAAGTTCTGTCTTTTAGCAACTATGTTTCTGCAACTTGCATCATTTTAAGATCTACTAAATTTACTTCTGAGCAAGAATTTTGTTTTATAAAGTTTATACATTTATAAAGTTGGGCTACAACACTTTTCTATTTGCTGCAGAAGCAGACCTGTTAAGAATATGTCTTTACTCGCAACTTAAGTTCTGATGTCTGAGACAAAAACAGTGACCAACTGGAATGCATTTGGTCTAATAAAGTATGGTCTATCTGGCAATAGCACAAATTTGGGTTCACACATAGTGTCCTTTCTCCTCTTTTGCGTCTTCGTGCAGTATTAGTTTCCCACTATTTCTGAACCAGTTCTTAGTGTAAATCAGACAAAAAGCATGAACCATATTAAATTTCAAACTGGAGATGGTAAAAGTCAGAAAACCTGGGGCCATCAGTCTTGGGTCATCAGCTATTGGTCAAAGTGATGAACCAATAGATAAGTATGAGGTTTGGATTACTATTAGAAGCAACTAGAAAAGATTTCCTTTTTCCTCTTTCATTACAGGGATTGAGTATGGGGATGTACTGCCAGATTCCTTCCCATCAGCACCTGCAGAGTCCCTTCCCCATTTCCTGTTGGAGCCACAAGATGCCTACATTGTGAAGAACAAACCAGTGGAGCTGACCTGCAGAGCCAACCCAGCCACCCAAATCTATTTCAAGTGCAATGGCGAATGGGTGAATCAGAATGATCACCTGACAACAGAGAGTTTGGACGAGGTCACTGGTGAGGAACCTTGAAGGATTAGCCCATTTCTTATATTCTGCTCGCTTCTTTCCCCCCTCCTCCTCTCTCTCTTAAGATTTTGACTTTCCTTCTTTGGCAATAGAGAATTAAAATGGACAGAGAGTCTAAAGATGCCTGCCTCTCGTCCTAAAAGATTGGTGGAAGATTACTCAGGCAAGATCTTTGTGATGCTGTGGGGATTTTTCAGACTAAGTTCCTATGAAAGCTAATGAGATGTTCTTCAAAGAGAGGAGCAGCAATGATGGGCAAGCTCTCTGAAGAGTAGCTGAACCTCTGTAATGTACACCGTAGAGAAATTGAATATATTGTAGAGGAGATTCTCAACTCATTTTATGGCCTAGCATGAACATGAATCTTAGAACCCTTAACAGAATTCTCTGCATTTTGCAAATGTTCCTTGAAAGACAAATGGATGTCTAAATTATTAGAAAGTGTGCAGTCTGCTGCAGTAGCTGTACCATGGGAGGAACAGATCAGTCTATTCCTGATCCAGTTCTCATTGTTCTCTTTTTTTAAAAATTAAGAAATGATTATAAAGTCACAAACATGGGAAAAAAATAAACCCAAAGCTTATAATAAGTACATTGCACGTTGGCTGGTTTCTGTTATTATAGAGTTATGTAATTGTGAGATGACAGACAGAGAGACAGATGGATGGATGCTCAGTACAGGTAATCCTTGTTTCGCAAGCACAATTGGGACCAGCAACTTGGTCGTTAAGCGAAGCAGTTGCAAAGTGAAACCGTGACTGTGCTTACAATCTTACTTCCAGCTACCTGTGAAGGTTGTAAATGCAAGGAACACGGTTACTTTTTCATTGTTGTTGTAACTGTGAATGGTCACTGCATGAGGCAGTCACTAAATGAGAACTTCCTGTACGTTAAAACTGCTTTGGTTATCTGAGGGAATTTATCCCAAAAGAAGAATGAGTAACAAATGCGTAAAATGGGGTGGGGGTTTATTAAAATATGAGAGAAATGGAAGCCAGGGGACCAAATATAAATCTTGGTTTACTATTCCTTTAATTCAGCTTTCTCCATCTTGCCATTCTTTAGCTTGGCCATGGGGGCTAGGAATATGGGGAGTTATAATCTAATATCTAAGCCAGTGTTTCTCAGTCTTGGCAACTTTAAGATGTGTGGACTTCAACTCCCAGAAATCCCCAGCCAGTGTTGCTGGCTGTTGTTGTTGTTGGCTTAAAGATGCCAAAGTTGAGAAACACTGATCTAAGCAAACAAGGCTGGTCCTGGAAGCTAAGTGGAGCCAACTGTAGTTAGTACTTGGGTGAGAGACCACCTGGGAATTCCAGGACTGACTGTGAGTTACAATGACAAATCACTGAAATCTGCCAAGAAAACTGCAAAGATGCAGTAACCAGGTGCTGAGCTCAGCTGAAAAGTGTTTTTACATTTAGCCTGATGCATCTGAAAAGCACAAATTAGGAAGTGGTGTACCAAGGTGGGGAGGGGGCAGGGAGGCAGTCTGCCATAGGTATGGGCAATTAGGGATGTTGCCAAAACAAGGAGGCTAGCAGTGGGTGTGGAGTTGGGTTGCTGCTGCCAGTGTGCCAGTGGTCAGTAGCATAGCACAGCAGCAACAAAGAAGAAATTTGTGTCTTCAAGTCAGTTTTGACTCCTGGCAATTGCCCCCTGAACTTTTCTTAGCAGCAATTTTTGGAAGTGGTTGCCATTGTCTTCTTCCTTGGGCCAAGAGAGAGTGACTGGCTCAAATTAATCAGCTGGCCTTCTGCCTAAGGTGGGACTAGGACTCACAGCCTCCTGGTTTCTAGCCTGGTGCCTTCACCACTAGACCAAACTGGCTCACAGTAGTGGAGGAGCGGAGGTGGGTGTCAAATATGCTAAGCATGCTGTTGAATGAAGGGGATTAATCTTTCCATTTTGAGCATATTTCCTCAGAAGAATATCCATTTTTGAATATATTTTATTTCAAAGGATGCATTTCTAAATCTATTTCATCCTAAAGTAACATTTTTATACCATGTTTGTAAATGCAGTGTTAGCGCCCAGAGCCTCACTGCAAAATTTGGAGAAGTGTAGAATCCTAAGAGCATGTAAGTTTTCATCCGTATATTTTCTGGAGATGTTGGTCAATTTGTATCAGAATGCACCAAAATAAGTTACTCAGTTCTCATGATTAGAAGTAATATTACATTGTCTGAATAACTCTTCATAGTAATTGTACTAATATCACAGTACGCAGTTACTTTAGTAAGACTTTCCAACAAAGTACTTAACGAGAGGCTCTTAAGAAAAACATTTCTTAAGGGAGATAAAATTCTGTCGTAGATAAGACATTTGCTGAGAGCAAAGGAACAGACAACAGGGATGCAAAGCCAATTGTTTCTGGGCTGAGAGGTAACAGATGAGAGTCCCAAAAATCTGGCCTGAAAGGTAGTTTTATGTCTATAATGCTATGATGGATTTTAAGGCTAGGTTCAAGCAACCTTCTGTAATGGAAGTGACTAGGGCTATTACACCAGAGTAAATGATTTGTGGATGTAGCCAAGAAGTTAGATGTCCTATTGCCCTTGAACTTCAGTGAGTCTTGTCTCCTTGGACTTATAATGGAGAGATCCTCAAAGTTGCCTACAGTTGCTCAAGAGGTAGCCTATGACTTATTTTAATAAACAAATACATAATTAACTCATACCAGTTCAAACTCTGCTCAGGTGTATAGAGTCCGCAGGCAGTCATTGCCTTGAGAAATGATTGCTTGGTCCTCCCTAAAAATAAGTCAAGGAGTGTGGTACTGTAGTTCAGCAAACTTTGTTCCAGGCTTAAATTTTAAATTTGAATCCACCACCTGGATGAGAGGGAGGCACATCTGTATTGGACAGATTTAGTTACAAAGTTACTTTTTTGTTTTCATGCCTTGCTTGTGCATTTCCTAGAGGATTGTTTATTGTTGGGAACAGGATGCTGAACTAAATGGTCTTTTGATATGATCCAGGAAAGTACTGAAATAGAATAATGGACTTTGATATGTTTAACTCCACATTCTCCTGGTAATTTTAGCAAGCTAGAATCTGGAGCAGTCCCCAACCAATTTTTTTTTTCTTTTAATATAAGAAAGGCAGTTAGGGAGCTCTGAAAGATTCTGATGGGGCTTGGTATAAATATCTGTTTGATAATCAAGTCATCATAATAAAATAATAGAGTTGGAAATATTTCAAGCCAAAGTTCTCTCCAATTTCAAAAATAGTAAAATACCTTTTGAAGATTGGATTATTATTCAAGACCAATTTTAAGAAGCTTCTGGCATCAGACAAACGCCTGAAATAAATTCTTACACCAAATCTAGCCACAGTCCTGGGATAATTGGAGCACGTCATTACTTTTATTTTTAATTGCACTCACTCTGCTGGAGGATCTGGGTATAGCCTGCTTCAACAACTTCCAAAGCAATTTTTATTTCCATCAAAATCATTCTGCATTTTCTCGTACTCTTAACAATCTTAATTATTCCTTCCTCTTTTTCTACATTTTTGTAGCAGTAATTCTTAACATTCAGTTCCACATAGCTTCCACATCTTTCCTTATTTCTGCTTTCTATCCATTCTGTTGAAAGATTAATCTATCTTCTATTATTTTTAATATAGGACTCATACTTTCTTTTCTTGCAATTGTTCTACTTTTACTCTTGTTTCTTTTACTTCTTTTCTTTCCTTCCATTTTTTCCCAAGATCCTTTCTAACACTACTAAGAAATTATCTGTCCCACATTCAGAACCTGTTGAAAGATTAATCTATCTTCTATTATTTTTAATATAGGACTCATACTTTCTTTTCTTGCAATTGTTCTACTTTTACTCTTGTTTCTTTTACTTCTTTTCTTTCCTTCCATTTTTTCCCAAGATCCTTTCTAACACTACTAAGAAATTATCTGTCCCACATTCAGAACCTCTCATCTTTCCTGGTATCCTTCACTAATTATTTCATCATCATCAAATCAATCATACTTCTAAATTCATTTCTTTATCATGTGTAGCCATGAGTAGACTTAGGTTTAAACCATATACTCGAAATCAAGAAACCTTTTTCTAAGCAGAAACTCACCACCAGTCATTCTTCTCATTCATTCTTGTGTCTCCAAATGGTCCATTCACTTTCTTTGTACAGTATTGTCTCATCTTATTTCCACCCATACATTCATGTCACTTAATAGAATGTTTGCCCATTTAGAATTTTTCCCAAAGGTCATCTTTGGTTCTTCCATTATCACCATTCACTGGAGCATAACATGCAGCTGTCACCAACCTATGGATTCCTACTTTCATACTCACCCGCTATGAGCTAAGTGACAGTAATTCAGAGATCTTGCCATACATGTCAGCCATTCATTCATAATTAAACCAGTATCTTCATTTCCCTGCATGTATTCATCAAAAGTTCAGACCATTTTTATTCACATCTATTACAACTTTCTCTTTTCTCTTACTTTCACAGGTATACAATACACACACACACACACACACTTTATCATATATTCTTACACTCCAAGTTTCATTCTTCTGCCTGCTATGGTCATCACCCCTAGATATTGACCACCACCAGCTATCAGGGCTTTGATCAATCAATGTCTTCTCATAACATGTTTTAATAAGATAGAGAAGGTGTAGACTAGGTTACTATAAACTTAGCTGAACCTATGTACGTGCAGCATTTCCTCCCACGCCAGTCGATCTGGGCCTATTTTAGTCATTATACCACAACTGTAGCCAAAGTTCAGTTTTACCCCAGGCGTCCTCATGCTATTCTGTGTGAGCTTGGATCTCTAATCTAGAGAATACCTCTCAGGCAAAAAATATTTTGCCTATACGCCACTAGCTCAGAGGTCCTTGCAATCTACTAATGTTTTATGTAGTGTGTCATTATTATAGAATTCACTACCATGTGAAGAACTGCTGCCTAATAACTTGAATTGCTCCAAAAGTGATTAGACTATTTATTTATTTATAGA